TAAGAAGGAGGGAAGCCCGGCGTTAGCCGGGCGGCCCGACTGGTAGAAAAGAAGGAGGACTGCAGTCAAAGCAAAACGATCGAAAAGAAGCCTGAAAATTAGAAACAACAGATACAGCATGATGAAACGAACCACAGAAGAAGAGGGCCCGAGGAGACTTCGGTGAATTGATTTGGGAGGCATAAGCTCCGCAAGATGAGAAAAAGTGAAAGTTGACAAGTGAAATGACAACATGGAAGGGTCCAAAAAAGGGAAAAATCGAATGCCGCAAGAGTTAACCGCCGTGGTGGATTTGTTCGGTTGAATACTGACGCCTAGTCGATATCCTAGCACCGCCCGAAGATCAGACCTCGGATCGAATTTGGTGCGGACCTCCTGAACCTTTAATCGCTTGTGGTCTATGAATCGGTGGTTGGTTTCGAAATGCGGAACAATTGCAGGCTTCTTAGGTTGGTAGTATGAATCATGTAGGGAACTAGTCCCAAGGGGCATTGTTGCCATAAGAATAGTCTGGGATCAAATCTCAGATCGATACCCCACCAAAGGGACAGCCCAGCTTTCCTTTTTCTCGGGATCAATAAACTGGTACCAATCCCACACGAAAGGATAAAAACATTGAATAGTAGCTGCCGGCTGAATAGGTCCCTGTACAGACCTGTTCCAGAAGTGCCTTCAGTTCGTCCGGGATCAACACTAATAAGAGCTACCCATAGGATCAAGCAGTCAAAGGGCTATCACTTTGAGATGGGATGGTACTCGTTGAGTTGGTGAAAACAGGTCGTGTTGGTCGTAAAGCGATTGAAATATGACAGTTCTTAACGGGTTTCCTAGAAAGGAAAGATCAAGCTTCCAAGTACACCTCGTCAGTCTCCCATACCACATTTTTTCCACAGTCCTTCGAGGTTATCGCTTTATTCAGAAGTTGGATAGGCATGGAAAGGGTATGCCTAATGGTGGGAAACTCCGGAATGTTTCGCTGACTGGAATGATTTTTCGTAATACCAAATTTCACCCTAGTCACACCTCATTAACCTTCCCATGAAGGGCTACGTGGCTCGTTCCCAGTAGGGCCGTTCTTTCCCAAAAAGATTATTACCTCGGCAAATCGAACCACAGGATTCGAATAAAATATGAGGAAAGTGAAGGAGCAGAATTCAGAGAGTGAAAGTGGTCGGGTCGTGAGGAAAGCAAGCGAAGTTGCTCGATTTATGAGTCATTATTTTCTTCTATTACTAGTTAGTCATCTTGCATTGACGAGAAATGACGTTGGTGCAAACGCACAATGACAGCTGCAGAGGGAAAGGGNTTTTTCCACAGTCCTTCGAGGTTATTCAGAAGTTGGATAGGCATGGAAAGGGTATGCCTAATGGTGGGAAACTCCGGAATGTTTCGCTGACTGGAATGATTTTTCGTAATACCAAATTTCACCCTAGTCACACCTCATTAATCTTCCTATGAGGGGCTATGTGGCTCATTCCCAGTAAGGCCGTTCTTTCCCAAAAAATTATTACCTTGGCAAATCGAACCACAGGATTCGAATAAAATGTGAGGAAAGTGAAGGAGCAGAATTCAGAGAGTGAAAGTGGTCGGGTCGTGAGGAAAGCAAGCGAAGTTGCTCGATTTATGAGTCATTATTTTCTTCTATTACTAGTTAGTCATCTTGCATTGACGAGAAATGACGTTGGTGCAAACGCACAATGACAGCTGCAGAGGGAAAGGGAAATAGAGGATGTAGAAGAAAAACAACACAGTAATTAACAGGGGTTATTACCCCGGCCAGCCTATTTCCTCGTCTTTCCCAGGCAAGTCAAACGACATAAGACTTGCATGGGAAAGTAGACATACTGCATTGAGGATAGTTCATTCCTTGAATCATTGTGTAGGTCAGACGTAATGTTCGAATCATCTTTGTGATATCCAGTAGATGCCGGACACCTGGCTCATACTCTGGCTCTCATATAAAATATTTATTTGGAACAGGGAAGTCATAAATAAATTCGGCCCTAGTTTGAAAGCTCAGAAGGGGGGATCACGGACCAGCTGGGACTAGCCTAGGAGCAACTGACTGGTGAGTAGCCGGGATCAATCATCCGACGTTGGAATCTGGTGTCACTTTTGAGTAGATGGGAAATGACTGTATTAAAAGGGAAGTTCGTAGAATGCAGTAGGAAAATAGAAACGAAAAGAAAGAAAAAGAGGAGTTAGAACGGATGACTCAGGCCTGTCAATATAATGATGCGATCTAAAGATGCGATTACTAAAGACAGTCGAGAGAACTAACCAGTTCTCCCGACTGTCTTTAGTAGGCAGGCATGCGGAGGCAGGTAGGGTGATATCCACACAGCTCGATGACAGCGAAAAAGAGCGAAAAGGCGTTTCGATGAGAAAGAAGTCAGCAGATAACTAGCTAATAATACTTCCGGTATCTATAGGTTACTGCTCAATGGGAAGGGCTGCAAGGCTGCCATGAAACCTATGTATGCAAACACCTTGTGTCTAGACAAAAGACTAGCCACACCTTCTTGAAACAGGTCCCAAGCTTCTCCGTCAGTCATCAAAATAGTTCGTGAGCAATATGATGAATAAAGTATTTGGGCGTTAGTCGATCTCATCTGAGGGATGCGCTCTAGCCTTCGACTTCCATTCAGAATCGTAGTGGCGTAATGAGAGCGTATGTGGCCTATATAAAGA